CTGCACTCTAGTGTTTCCTCTCAGCTTGCTCTAGAAGAGCTCTTTCCCCCATGGCTACTAGCAGGAAACTCCCCTCCAGGCCTCAGGCCTGGGATTTATATAGGAACCAGGCCCTGCTCCTTCCCGGTCAGTGGGCCAGGTGCAGGTGCGGCCAGCTTCCTCATTAAGTGGTTGTCCCAGAAACCTGCACCTGGGTTTTTATCTCTGTTCTCACAGTAGCAGGCAGCTTAGTGTCCCACTACAACCAGCATATTTTGTTATCTGGCATCCCCCATTCCTGGGGGAACAGAGCTTTTACTGTACTTGGTAAAGTACTTCCTCCAGACTGGATAAACTAGTGTCAGTGTGAAGGATGAAAGGTTTGTTAGGATTTGGATATGCCAATACGGGGGCATTAGTGAGCCATTTAATAAGTTTTTGGAAAGTTTTCTTACACTGCTCGTTTTATTTTGGTTTAAAAGTTTAGGTGGGACTCTTTACCTCCCGCCCCCCCCTTGTTTTGGAGTGCTCTGGCTTCTTTCAGTTGCGGGAAACCTTTCCTGTCTGATATTCCTGGGTGAGGTGATTCAACAGCCAGGTATAATCTGCACAAATCTCCTATAGAATCCTGTGAATCCTAAAAATTGTTTTAGCTCTTGATAGTTCATGGGTCTAGGCCAAGTGGTCACAGAGTGGACTCTGTTCCGGTCAGTACTAAACTCCTGTTGGGATACAATATATTTTACATATTTGACTGAGGTCTGTTAAAACTGGCACTTGTTGATAGTCAGTTTGAGGCCTGCAGCTTCTAACCAGTCAAGCACTCTGAGGAGCCTCTCATCATGTTCCTTTAACACAATAAGGTCCTCCCAAACATAATAGTCATCTAGGTACACGAGCACTTGAGTGAGATGTATATCCCTGACCACCTTTTCTGTCAATCTTTGGAAGGTGGCTGGAGCACCCAAAATATTTTGAGGTATTTTTTTAAACTGGAACAAGCCTAAAAGGCAAATGCATGCATTTTTTTCTTTGTCTGCCTCCCTGAGGGGAATCTGGTAATATCTGTTCCTCAGGTCTAACATAGAAAACTATTTCCTGCCTCTAAGGCAGTCTCTAGCACACTTTATAGTTAATACGTATGTGGAGTTTTTCATTTTTCTTCCTTACAATGACAATGGGCAAGGTATAGGGACTTTTTGACTCAGTGATTATCCCATGGTTGAGCAGTTTTTACAGGTGGCACCTGACCTCTCCCATTTTGGCCAGTAGGATGTGGCGAGACCATTTCTGAAACAGTCGGGGATCACTGAGGCAAATTTGGTGTTCTACCCCCTCAACCTTCCCCACATCCCATTCATGGAGAGAGAAAACCCAGTCCTGGGCTACAGCTTCTTTTGCAGCTGCTCTTTTCAGGCTTCAGGTGTAAGGGAATTCCCAAAATAAAACTGCTTGGGGTTTATCGGGGGGATCTAGGTTGGTTAGTCGAAGCTACTACCTTCATCTCCCTAACAGTGGCTAACCGCTGACCAGGGTGGACCACCACTTCCTGCGTTGAGGGATTCACCACCATGATGGTGACATGCTCTTGTGCCAGCCCCTCAGAAGCAAACAATCCATCAGAAACCTCCAACACTCGAGATCCCTTCCCACAGGGGAGGGCTTCAACCACCGTGGCCTTAGGTTCTGGGGACCCTTCAGCCCAACTGCAGGCAATGGGTAGGGCTCTTTGCCTCTTCACAGGGATCCTTTGGGGCCTTTTGCTCACAAACTGTAATTCCCTTAAAATGGGGGATCTTTTTTCGTGTTTCTCTGTTCATACCTGGCATAGGCCTCAGTAAACAGAGCATACATTCTTAGTTGTTTCCTATAGTTTGGGCCCACCTGCTGTTTACAGTACTGGGTCAGTACTTGGAAAATGCGGGAGTCAGTCCTTATAATAAGTCCTCTGGCTTCCACCCTGGGTCTGGACACACCAAGGCAACGGTCACCATTTCTTTATCGGTCCCCGCCACAGACGTAGGGAACCAAATTTTAAAATTAATATACTTGTATATTAAATTTTAATTTTAATATACATTGATTTAAACAAAATGGTCACCTGAGACCCACTGTCCAACATTGCAGTACAGGGATGTTCAGGAACTTCAGTCTGGGGACCTATTAGCCGTTCACGTATTGCACTCCTAGTTGCAGCTCGGGAGCTGGACAAGACCCAGGGTGGACTGACTCCCTTGTTCTGTCTCTTCCTTGTTCCCCGGCCCCCATAGGAATTTTAACCTTTGAAAGACCCTGTCAGGGGTTTCAGGCCCTGAGCACCCTCTCGCCGTGTGACCATATTCCCCACATGTATAACATAGTCCCACAGCCTTGGATCAGTTCCTCACTTGGGAGGGACCCTAGAGGTCTTGATCACTTTTGTGGGAATTGTTCCAGTGATAGTGATGGCCAGAACTGGAAGGGAGGGTTCTTCTTTTATTTTATGGGGTAGCTTCTCTTGAATAGCTACTTACTGGTCCCCGGTGAACCTAAGGTTCTTTGGGGGGGGGTCACATGGTTTCCCACAGCTGGAGGATTTTTTTTCTTTTCTCATACCTCCCTCATAAGCTGGGCAAACCTGGGTGGGTTGCTCTTTCACCCAGTCAGGTTTAGATCCCTTACACATTTTCCTTTTATATGCTTCAGTGGTTCTGCCCCTGAAGTCTGGAAGACCTGCCATGCTGCAGTCCATAGTCCACTCAGGGAGCTTCTCTCCCTTTCCCTTGGGGAAAGGGGCGGTGTCGGCTTTCCCCTAGCTTCTTTCTGATTGGTGGATTTGCTCCACCAATCAGAATTGAGGATTCTCAAGCCCCTGGACACTTCGGAGCTTGATTGGGTAAGTTTGTCACACCTGTGTGCTCTGGAAGGCCAAGGGTAGCAAGCCAACCTCCAGATTCCAAAGGCGCACAGAAAACACAACTTGGATCCGTGCTCGGTAGCAAAAGCCCAGAAAGATTTATTGTTGTCAGACAGTGCACCAGTTAGTTTCATTAACAGTCAGTCCAACTTAGTGAAGCTTGTACATGACAGGTAGAGACACTGTATGGTATCCATGCTTGTCTAGGTCTCCACAAGGGACAGGTCATGCAACCCTTGTTTTCATACTTACGTGCCCTCCCCCATCTTGTGCCAATTCATCTCCTTCTCTCTCTCTAATTGTTCATCTCTACTTCTTTTGTTAGCCAAGTTTTCACACTTGTGCTTGTTATCTCTGTCCCATTAATGAGTTCTTCTTTGGCTGCTGCTTTCATACTCCCTTCAGTGTTTTTTTTGCTCATTAGCGTGTTTTTTTTCTTTTTCTTACTGAGTTATCCAGTGGTCATGAGGCCTCTTTCTCCCAGAATGCTGCTTACTAATGCTCTGCATAACTACAGCCTTGCACAACCCAAAACAGCTCCACACAGCCTCTCATTCCCAAACCAGCATCACCATGCTCCTTCTTCACCTTGGACGGCTGCACATTTTCCTTCCTTGCTTTTCTGCAGAGCCATCCCTGAAGTGGATCCAGGGGGTGAGGATGCAGTGGTGCAGTTGCTTCCCCCTGACTCTTAATTTCTGCTCCACCGAAAGTTTAAAACCAACTACCCGGCAGTGATGGCAGCATTTTGGTTCAGGCAGCAGCAAGGGAGTCAACTAACTTCATGGCTCCTTGTAATTAATCTACCTGACTCTTTGTAAACTCCTCCTTCCATAGGTATTAACCACCCTCTTTCCTTTTCTTAAGGGCCAGGATATCCCACCCATCAGGCTAGGCTTCCTTTGGTGAGTTAGCTGACTGTTAGCTGCTTCTCTAGTCCCTACATCACAGCCCTGCCAACTGGTTTTGACAACCTACAAAGGTTCACTCGATGGCAGAAAGAACCAGGGGAGCACCGGGAGCTCAGTCAAATCACTCAGGAAGGCTAGCTCTTGTTTTCCGATTCTGAAGAGGGGGAAAAAAAGACGCCCATTTAATTGTAACTATGAAACAAAACCACATTTGCTTAGTGTCATGTAGCTGGTGGAGTTTTTCTACATGCTGTGGTAGAGGACAAAGCAAATTCAGGTTTTGCTGGTGCAGTCCAGTCCTATTGGTTTCTGCTTCAATTTAAACTGAACACTAGTGCCCCAAGGGTATTAGCAAAGCCTGTAGCTTTGTAAATGCAGAAAAATTGTGTTGCCCTCTATGGCCAGAGACACCTCACCATGTGCACCACCCCTGTTCAACACCCTAGGTTTGCCCCAACATTGCCAGGTCTTAAATATAAAATTAGTTCAAAATTATCATTTTTGCTGAAAAACTATCATACATGGAAAGATATGCAAATAAGTGTGCAAATAAACATGTAAATAAGTCAACTTATTTACTTTATATTGCTCACTATAACTCTCCAGTCAGTGAGTGAGAAGTGGGTCATCAAAGTTGAGGCATTTTTTTTTTATTTCAAGGGAAGCTGTCCTAAAAAAGTGCTGACTGCAAACCAGAAATATGGTGAAAACTCCCTGAGAGTGACTTGGGCTTTGCATATACTGCATCAGTGAGCTACCTCAAAAATTATCAGGCTTTCTGAACGCTTTCACTATTATTGATAGTACATAGTAGGAAGGTTGAAATGATCCTACAAATACCATAATAACGTACACCAGGCAACACTCCACCTTTCCACCTGCGCAGCCTCTACGGCTTTCCTCAGGGTCGCAGTGTACGCACAGCCCACGCCTCGCCCCGCCCCCCAGCAGTGACTGAGACTCGAAGAGGGAAGAGGATTCCAAGCCCCACCCCCCGCGCGCCGAGCTACAGGAGAAGCCACGTGATGAGCGTAGCGGAGACGCCCCGCCCACCCAGGCCTGCCGCAAGCGGGTGGGCGCGATGATATTAGCAGTTTCGGCTTTCCGGCGCGACGCCCCACTTTTTCGCCGCTCTTCCCTGCTGCGGGCATGCGCAGTGACGTCCGTGCCCGGCGTTGTGACGCGCGGAGCGTAAACAAAGCGGTGCATGGTGGGTAGAAGGGGGGGTGGGGGGATTGTTCCGCCCAGGAAGCAGCCTCCATCTTAGGGCCTCGGCGGCTCCCGCGACCTAGGTCTGGCTCCGAGCCCCCGAGCTCCCGCGGCGGCGGCGGGATGGCGGCGGACAGCCGGGAGGAGCAAGGTATGAGTGCGGCGGCGGCGGGCCCGAGCCGGGGGGGTGTTGGGATGTGTCATTGGCGCCGCTTATGTAAGTCCCTGGGGCGGCATCCGGCCTGGTGCGCGGTGTAGGAGTCTGTAAGGGAGGTCTCCAGCACGGCACCAAACCGCGTTTCTCATCTCTTGTTTTGGTTTTTTTTAACTCCCCGTCTCGGATGGCGGCAGCAGGGGATGAGGCCGCTGCTGTCACTTCCTGAGTGGGTTGGTGTGGTGCCTCGTCCTCTGCAAATACGTGCTCTAAGAAACATTTGCAGAAGAAATGCGAAGTCTTAGTGACAGCTGTCAGATCAGGATTGGTAGGCCAAAAGAGAGCTCTTCAGTCTGGGGTGTTAAATCGTTGGGCAGATCATATCTGTATCTACTCAAAAAAAAAAAAATTTTGACTTCATTCAGTGTGCAAGAGGTGATCTCTTTTATTAGACTGACTAGATGGTTGCAACCCCCCCCCCCCCGCCTCTTT